TATACATCTGAGATCCATCCAAAATATTAATTGCTACCTTTAGTAACTATGAAACAAAGGTGACACTTTTTATATGCATCTATTTTCAGAAGGATGGCTTCCCAGGATTGAGACAGTAATCTGTACCACCAAGATTAAGAAATCCTGTTTGCAAACCAAGTCCTATTAAACCATCCCTGCAGTAACGCGGCCTCTGCACTTGTCCTCCTTTAGTCAATTATTTCCAGGCTCAAACTATTTGAAAGGTTTGCTTTGCATTTTTACACCGGAAGAAGCATGACAAAGACGGACACACACTGCAGTAACCTGGTGAAGCTATTTGACCCGCAATTATCTGAGGAGTTCATAAAAGATGAGCTACGAGGGCTGACTTTAAAATCCATGAAGGTAAATGCTCTGTTAACCTAGTAAGTGACCAGCTAGAGCCATGCAAACATACACAAATCTGCAGTACAAGTAGCAGCAACACAATGAATGGAGCAGCTGGACGAGGCAGAGACTGTTGTATCTACACAGCAAGCCAGTTAAAGTTAAGGAATTTGTTTAAGTAGGAAAAGCAAAATGGCCCCATTACCAGCCTGTATCACACCCGTAAGGCTGCAGGAATGTGGGGAAGGCTGCAGGAATGAGGTAACAGCAGTTGAGTAGTTCCCATAGCAAAGTATTTAAATCCTGCTCAAGCTTATCTCTACTTTCCCAAAAAAACTGAAGATACTGAAAAGACCAAAGAAATAATCCAATGATTGAACATGGAAGTCAAGGGCTTAAACACAGATGTATACAAATTTGAGGTGTTCAGAGAAAGCTGAGCCGGGGCCTGTGCAAACTGGCCAGCTGCCATTGTTGGTACAAGCCAAACACTTCTTCCACAGAGTACCATGAAGATGAAAAACCTACCGGACTTCCAGATCTCCTAAGGGACCTGAGAAGGCTCACTCTGATCTTGAATTTGGCCTCGAGGACACAGCCTGTTCCAGGAGGAAGTGAAACTCATGATCATTAACTTGTCCATATCCTCCAATATACTTGAAGGAGATGTATTTAGTTCCATAGCAGGAAAGGCACAAACCTAATTCCTACAGCAAAATAGATTTACAATATTAGATTGAGTTGGGAGTGAAGGATGAGGATCCTGGAGGTTTATCACACACACAGTTAGGTCTGTCTCTTATACACATCTGTACAGTACAATTGTGGGCATATAGAAAGAAGGAGAAAGGGTTTTCAGACAGATGCTTGCAAGGACTGTGACTGAATAATTAGACGTAAGGAGTATATTTGAATACTGTCTGAGAGCCTTCTGATTTTTTGCTTGAAGTTCTCAATAACTAAGAATTGCATTAATTAACACCTGAGGGAATATTCATGCATTTTTCATACACAAAAACAATCTCCATGCAGAAGCCATCCAGACTCTCCTAAAAT